CTTTTATTGAGCTGATACTGTTTGTTGCCTCAACTTAACCATAACGATTAACAGACATTCCCCAAAGAGGTTTAGAAGTCCAAAGCTCAATCAAAGTAGTCCCGCTCTGCAGTAACATGGAAAGGCAAATGTCCCGGAGGAGCCCTTGACCACATTATCTTAGATGTTAGTTCAACTACACTCTACAGATGAACAAACTCTCCCCAATGCTTTGCTCTGTGATGTTGAGGAATTACAAAGGTCACAGAATAATATAGAGTCAAAGTAATGTTTTGCAGTTAATTCAATGTGCAGTTAAGGTCTTAGCCTCATATGGATTAAAACCACTGAACACATTGAAGTTGAACTTAAATTGTTTGTTTATCACTTTTTCTTTCCGACTCTCAAAGGGTTGAACTGCTCTTGAACTGTAATTATCAATTTTCATCATAATGTGGTTAAACCAGCTTCCAACAGAGTGTAGTAAATATCCAGGACCACTGCCCCACTCAACCACCACATAAAACTGTTAAGCATGCACTGACACTAGTGGTCTACAGATGGTCTGGTGCCCAGGACTATATTCTCTAAACTGTTTGAATATTCAAATGTTCATGTCAGGTCAGTTCCAGCTAACACTGAGGAAAAGAAAGTTCAATACAGCTCAATATGTGAGGTAAAGATATGTGTCTTGTCTTTGACATATATTGTAACTATGGTGATTCAAAACTGAGCTGAACTTGAAATGTAACCAAACTATAATCATTGTTTTATAAACCTTTTCTGTATCAGATTTAATACCCACACTGCATTGCTGCATCACTGTCAACTACACACAGACACGTCTACATTGCTGTAGATATCTTCCACCACTAGAGGTTGACAGACACAGGACTTGTGAACAAGTGAAAACATGTGAAAATCATATGAAATATGTGGCACATATATTCCTTCACGTATGAAACATGTGGTTTCATGTGTGAAGCCCACAAGTAAACTCCCATGTGAAACCTGTGGGATTGCATATCAACACTTGACAATCCCAATATAATCACATGCAGTCCCATTGGTTTTACATGGAAACTTACATGGGCGTCACAGTTACACAGCTGTTTCCTCCCACCTTGCGTTTCTACCCCATTTCTCTCCTCTCACCTTAACCGGTCAAGACATGGCCGCCCACACTGAGTCCGGTTCTACTCAAGGTTCTCTTCGCTAACTGTTGGGTTTCTCTATAATATTTTAAGGGCGTGACCTTACTATGTGAAGTTGTGCTGATCTAAAGCCGTTCACAGAGATGACAGTTTGCTTTGCACACATGCACAACACAGTGGGAGGTTCTCTGCACAGCAAAAAAATCATCTGCATTACTCAGGTGGAGCAGGCAGAGGCAGGAAGTGACGTATTAACTCTGCTGTGGAGATCACGTGATTTTGTTTGCAGTACATTGACGCTGTTGTCCTCTCTTATCTCCACAACATCTCCTGAAATCCTCGTCAGTGTCTTCTATATGTTTTCATTTTGTTTGTTTATCAACCCCCCCACTCGCTGCTGTGCGCTCACTTCGGATTCTGCAGACTTTCTCTTAGCTTTATACATGGGAGCCAGGTGGAGAATGTTAGCAGGTAATCCCGGATCACATGCACCTCCTCAGAGAAAGTGCTGAGTATCTCTGGAACTCAGTGCATGTCTGAAAGCTGCTGAACAAGGCCACTGCGACTAGACTTTTCTCAACAAATGCATCAAACCAACTGACATTAAGGTTGTGCCTTACATTCAGAGTAAGCAAACTGATCTCTCAGAGCTGAGGGCGATTATGTTTTCTTCAGTGTTTGTTTTTTTTGAGTCGGCAGCATTAAACAGACACTACTGGATGGATTAGCGAAAACTGGTTGAGAGGAGCAGTGTGGGTCAGGGAAGATTACATTACATTTGTTGCAAATCTTCTGAGTACCCTTCTAGTTGTGTTATATTATTGTCAAGCAGTATTTGTCAGAAATTGCAGAGGTTGTCGCCTGTGCCTTTAAAGACCCAGTCACACTCATCCAGTCTTGAGCCTTTTTAGTTTTTTTCCTTCTAAAATGTAATGGAACCCTTTCCCCACTGGGTGGCAGTATGTGCATACAACCAGAGGTGGGTCTGCCTCTGTGAGAGCTTCTGGTTATTTGATCCATCTCACATTCAGTCTTTTGACAGAGGCAAATATGTGAAGTCCTTGATCTTGAATCTAAGTACTAATGTAAAATTATATAACAACTCAGACAGCTCGATATCAGTGAGCGAGGCAGAGAGCGTCAGAGAGAGGCAGAGAGGGAGCAGAAGTCTGAAGTTCAGGCACAGTGCAAATGAAAAGAGAGAATATCTAATAAGCCAAACGTCGAAAGAGACTCACCTCACATTTGCAGCCTTGTAGGGAGATTTAGACGGAGAGCAGACTGCCTCTTGGTATCTTTTGGCTGAACTTGCAGACTTGACACCAGTGTTAAAAATTACAGGTGATCTCTTGCTCTTTGAGTTTTTTGACATGAAAACCTGCATGCATTCTTCTGCTAATCCAAATTCAAATAGAAGGGATAAAGAAGCTGAGACAATAGGATAACTGCTCAAAATAGCGTATTTATTTCACCAAACATTCACTGGCTGTACCTTAGGTTTAAAAGATTCGGTAGGTTTACCGTGGCACCTGCTGCTGAGGAGTGACTAATACGGAAATCCAATTTTCTCCATTTCTCCAGAGATTGCATTTCTTTGAACTTATTCAGCTTCCCTGTAAATTGCCCTCATGTTGAGGTGAAAATGCAATTTAAAATTTTCATGTAGTACGTCATTCATTTCTGAGAATAATATATTTTAATGGGCTCCATGAGATATGAAGTGCACAATACTTGCAGCATGTTATCATAAGAGCCTGAAAGTAAAAGCAGTTGTGTTTTGAGCACAGCAGTTTTCTTTTTTCTTCTTTCTTTATTGACAAGTGTTTTGCACTGTTGAGTTGATGTTTCACATACGGAGACCATTTAAGGTTGTGAGCCAGTCGCTCATAAAAGTGCTGTGAAGCAAAGGGCAAGCTGAAAGCCAAAAGACTGAGAATAACTTGTGTATGTGCTGTTATGTGTGCCGAGAGCAGGGGAGAGAGTGAAAAGCTTCAGACGCAATCGATACCTGTGAATGTGTCAACCCGGTATGTGCAGAAAGACCACTGATGCTTTCAGAGAATTAAATGAATTCACCTAAAAGACAAATGTCTCTAACTGAGTGCTGATGTATTAATTATGATTATTTTTAAGAAGCACTCTGATTTGGAGGATTTATTTGCAGTGAGGTGCAGATTGCTATCACCCCTCAGTGGACTTCAGGTAATGTAAAGATGTGGAAGGCCCTTTCTAAACCTGTGTTTGATTTCTCCATTCTGGGTTACTGTGGAAATTATTTTCACAATTTGGATGTAAATGTGAAAAGCTCATTTGAAACTGACAAAAACAACCGATTGTCACTCAGTAGAGCACAAAGACCAAACAGCCCCCTTAAATTCAGTCAAGCTGTATCATATTTATCACTCTCATAGATATCAGTTCGCTCAATCTGCATGATATTATTCAATATGGTCCATAAATTATTCCCTAGAAAAATTATGAAAATGCTGAAAAACACCCAATCTTGCAACATTAACAAAAGTGAAAAAAAATATCCTGGAAGTGTCATCTGTTCCATATCAGCACGAGAATGTAACGGTTTCTGGATCCGTACCACATTCCTCAACCCAACAAACAAATTGATGGGTTTGAAAACATAAACTCACTGGTTGAGGAAATGATTTTCAGGTGATTATAAACGAATGAAAATTATATTTTTCTGCCTAAATCAAACACACTGGTCGTTTAAATCTGTTTCAATCCCTGTGTTGTTACACAAAACAGATGCAGGCCTGAACAAGGTCGACCTACAAGGACAGAGTCAATGTATTTCTGGGCTGTTTAGGTGTAGAAGGATGGCACTTACTGAGACACATTTAATATTCATAATCTTGGTTAAATATTTCAGCCCTGACCTGAGTACAAGTGGGCTTTTCTCCTGAATTGTTAAATTCCTGTAATTTATAAGCTGATGACAGGTTGCTGCTGCTGCTCTCTACTAGAACCACAAAGCTCTTTGCTTCTACAAACACACAGTGTTTGATATGCTTTCTCCACGGGACACATGGCATTTCAGTGTCCCATAGGATCATTGTCAAGTATACCTTGTTAAAACCATCCTGAGGGGAAGATCATTTTATTTTCCACACACAGAAACAAGACAAAGCACTTAGTGAGCTCTGAACACGTGGTCATTTTCCAGCGTGACAACAGCAGGCAGCAGCTGTCACCTCCAACATCATTGGCCCTTGTGCTCCTTGAGAAACTACTAGGACAGATGGTGTGGACAATTTAAAGAAAACAGACATTTTCCTAAGCAACCTACACATAATGGTTCTGAATGCTGTTTGTATGAACCATAGACTGGATATAAAGATGGACGACAGGACAACGCCCCAAAAGTGAAGCCAAAGTGTCTCAGTTGCCCCCTGCTGGCTGGCTTCAGTTTGTCAAAAATCCTGCTTCCTCCACTTAAATGGATGGGACATGGACCAAATAAGAAAAACATTTAAAGTAAAAAATAATTTTTGTGAAAGATTTTAGGTAATTTTTATCACACTGATAATATATTTAATAATAATGTCATATAATTTATAGTCTATTTAATATTTGATACGATAAAAATTAGGTGACACACCATGATTGACAGAAGAGACTAATTCATGATTGGCCGAGCACATGCACGTGGCTCCTTTCCCCGGTCACTCAGACTCTTGCTCCGAACAAGACGGTGGCATTTGTACCCACGATATTTTAACCTCAAATCTGGACAGTGGGAGGAGGTGGACAAGTGTCGTCCATCTTTGTATATAGTCTCTGGTGTGAACTTCATTTTCTCTGTCACACACACACACACATCATTGAAGACACAGGAAACAGACAGTGTTGAAAATCTTACAATGTATATAATTGACACAAGATTTCAGGTACAACAGCAAATGAGACATTTGTATTTTTCATCCTCTTTCTGGCATCTACTTCCACCATAAGCACAAACTCTCCATAGATTTCTGATAACAGACAAAACCTAAGTAAATAAAAACAAGAAAATTTAAAATTTCTTTCTTAATAAATTGGCACCTTTCAGAAATACCTCCCGTACTCCACTCAGTGTAGAGTAAAGCTGTTTTAAATGGTCGGATAATCAGCTTTGCATTTTTGCCACCCAGAGTAATGAATGAGGTCAGGATTGAGGCGCACGCCCACTGATGTGATATCAGCGCTCTGGACAGACCTCTCTCCTGCTTCCTCTCACTTGTAGGGGCTTTAACACTGTTTCAGAACAGTTGGAGAGGAGACGTCTTGCTGGGCCACATCTATCTGCATACACACATCCCTAATCAATAGTCATTCCTGGAAGGTGTTGACTCACGTATTGATCGACCATCCTGTGATGTCTTTGTGCTGACAATGCCATTTATTGGCCTCATAAAAGTGCTGGTTTTTATAAAAGGGAGGGGGACTTTGAGCAACAAATTAATGAGATCAAAAAAGTGATGGAATAGAGGAGGGGTGTGGGGTGGGAGTGGTTGTGGTGATGGGGGTGGGGGAGGGGTTGTGCAAATTTCAGCCGATGACATCGTGAGGGAGTCATTGAGACTGAAGTCTGGGTCGTAAGTCGTCGTTGAATTGGAATGTCGCCATCACAGTTGGAGTAATTTCTCATTCTTTATAGGGCGCATCGTGTACGTTCACATTCATGCTAAGAAAACGACGACCCGCACGACGCTCTTGCTATTCGTTCTTTGTTTAACATTTGTATCTAATGTCATTACATCTTGTCTTTTTCTATCTTAAAATTGACCCCAACCTTATACAAAGTGTCAAAGGCAGTCACAGGCAGATTTCTTAACCAGGGACTAACACACAAACACACACACACAAACACAAACCCGCGCAGAGCAATAAAGCGTTCATTAATAAAGCATTTGAAAAACAGAGAACACCATCAACAGATCCTGTCATGTTTCACATATGACAACAACCTCTCCTGTTTTCAGAGCAGTAATTAAACCAAGAATCTGACAGACGTGCTCACACTTTGACAGAGTCTCAAACTGGATCTGCAGTATTACCAACTGTTGATCTTGTATAGGTTTACTCACTAAATGAATTATAGAGGAATGTCCCCGTGTTCAACTGAAGAAACGATGTACTTTAAAAGGAACAGCTCGTATGCGTCTCCCCCCGTTTCATTTCTCTGTCCCATACAATACTGACAAGTAGAGATACGATCAATACGGATTGGGAGTTATTACAGTAGTAGGTTGAAAATACAATTTTTGTAAAATGAGAAAGATTAATCTCCTGTTGCTGTCCGTTGAATAGCACTCTAGAATACAATGTGGGCCCAATACATTTTAATACATTTCATTTCTGTGGCATCCGAACTAGATTTATAAATGCTCATATTGTCCGTCCCCTCTTTTGCTCCATCAATCAAAACACAATCACACACAATCACACACAAACATGTGCGCACACACACACAAACACATATACAAGCATAGTCCCATCATCCTGCACACAGTATTCTTAAATGAGAGCGTTGACATTTGTTTGAATCAAAACGTGGTTATGCGTTTCCTAATCCAGCGAGCCTCTCATCAGGAAAAAAGCCTCACACTGTGTTCCCCACAACATTCCCACTAAGGTTGACACGTAATGAAGCACTGTGTCATTGTCATATTGCCTTGCCATCACGTCGAAGCACGAGGAAAGCTTTAAAGGTCATAATAACTGACAAGCGGGGGAGGGGGGAGGGCAGGGGGACCTGGGGGTGAGGAGGGACTGGGAAGAAAGAGGCACTGATATAAAAAAAAAAAAAGTTGCAGAACAAAGAAGGCAGATACGAATGTGACAGGTGATGAAAGAAATAAGAGCTGTAGCGTACCATGATCTGGCCGTTATAACATTTCGATACCTACTTGGCTATTTTCTCTAGAAAACCACAAAGAAGCAATCAAAATATGTACACTGCAGCGGTTGCTATAGAAATTTGCTTCACAGACGTGCACGCTGTGGCTTGGATCATTGCTGCAACTCAAAAAAAACCCACTTATGACCCTGCTGGTTTCAATTTAGATGCTAATCGCAGGGAGCACACAAAATTATGCATATTATATTTTTACTCTGCCGTGCATGTAAAAGGAATACTGGAAGGAAAAAAAAAAAAAAAAAAAGAAGCGCTACATGACAGCAGTGTTTCTGCTTCTGTATATTTCTGTTTATGCTACACGTTTTCCAAAATCACGAGCTGACGCAATTCGCTGCGACCTCACACCGACACCCACCGCTCAGCACACAACACAGCACTCTAAAGTGGGAAGCTGCTGTCATCTGAGACCTGGCGCGACCAAGCACGTGTTTTGCTTACACTCGACTCTCGAGTTGATCCTACACTGCCAGCAGGGGTTTTTCTTTTTTTTCTGAGAGAGAGAGGGAGATCTGCCTCAGCGGGGGGCCGGGGCAGGGAAGGGATGAGTGGATGGATGGAGTGGTGAATGGCGGGTCATGTTACCCCTAGATTAGACGATCATGTCAGTGTGAGTGTGATCGCGGCTATTATTACAGCTTAAATGGCAGAAAGTGCTGATGCAGAGCGCTCTCATCCTTGCTGCGAGATATTCTGAGGCTTAATGCGTTAAGAGGTCTGGTGGGCTACAATGTCCAGATTATCCTCCTGTAAAAGTCAAAAATATTTAATTTCACCCAACTTTCTGGTTTGTGTTCTTTTTTCTTTAAATACTTTGCAGTCATTAAATCTCCGTAGGCTTTATTATTGTGAGTTATTGATAAATAAATAATTATTCTGAACTCAAGTGCGGTTTTAAAGGGAGTGAAGTAACAAATATATGGATCTGAGCACCACTGCAAAGCCCCGTTCTCCCTCTCCCTGTGGTGTCAACACCAACATACTGTTAGCAATATAGTTTTTACACATGTCTTAGGTACAGATATAATCTCAGAGAACCCAAACACCAGAAACAAAACAGAAGATGCAAAAAGACCAGCTCTAATGGCGTCATAATATAGCGAGAAATAAAAGAGAGCAGAATCAAAACATTTATGAATACTCGCAATTCCACTTTGTTCTAATTCAGAACCAAAAGAATGTCCATCCAAGTGATTTTTTTGTGGTTGTTGTTGTTGTTTCCTCATATTTACTTAGTTTTGGCAAAGTAACTAACCCCCAACTTCTCCTCCCTCCCCTTTCAGCCTCCCCCAACCCTGTGTCCCATACTCAGTCCCAGTCGGTGGATTCCCCCTCAATTATCGCCGCAGCAGCAAAATGAGCAGTGGAATCAGGTAAGTGGCGACGCAGGGGAGGTTGTTGTTGGCCGATGCTTTCACCTTCTTGTTTTCCGGAGGGTAGGGGTAGCGTATGGGCCGCTCGGTGACAGGGTCGATTAGACGCGGGCCCCTGGAGCACATTTCTTCGGTGCACATGCCGCTTCCTGAACCACTGACATCGTCACCTGTGGACAGAGAGAGTACGGACATGAGATTCACGATACAAAATATGTGTATTCAAATAATTACAGTTGTTCTCGATTATGACACATTTTGTTTGCAAAACACTCACAAAATGCAACAAATGCAAATATTTCCCTAAAAACACAACTTGTGAAGATATTAATTTAATTAAGCACACACAGTGAATGACAAAATACAGCTATATAAACCAGTTCAGCCTCACTGTAATGTGCTTTACAGTATTTGTGTTACATCATTATAGTTTGTGGCAAAAAAAAAAGAGGTAACCATATTACAGCATGGCCTGTAGTCTGTCTTCACCAGATGATTTTACTCTAGATATGACCCAGCTTACTCTTATAAGCTGTCTTTGACATGTAAGACATACATTTAGCGTCTAGACAATTTTGCTTATGCTTTTTGTACTACCGACATGTGTTTGGTCTCTTTCTCCAAGTTTGCAAAGAGCAACACAGAGATGTCACTTTCTTTGCAGCGGGATAATGGCTGATTGCTTTTTGAATATTTGTGCCAAAGAGCTTCACACAGCCGAATAAGTGATTCATACATGCAAGTAACCTCTACCTGCTCTGTTTAGATGTTTTCCTATTGTTAAACACATAAAACCAACAGAGGTTTGGTCTCTGAAAGAGACCTGTGTTCCATGTTTTATGAGATGGTGTAAAAAATGTGTGAACCCCATTTAATGGTGTAAACACATTTGTAAGAGAGTTCTGCTGTGCTGAGGAGGTGATGATGAAGATCAAGTAGATCCCACTATCATTAAGCGTGCCTTAGCAGTCGAGAAAAACTCTAATCTATTAGACATAATGTGCTTATACACTGTTTGTTTGCTGGCATGACAGATGAGGTTGACTCTGCAGGTGCAAGCCGCAGAAGAAGGATGAGTTTTATTGCCAGCACTGTGCGCACACTGTTTTACAAAATATGACAAAAAAGCATTATGAATCAGGCCGAGCATTTTTTATACCTGTTTCTTAATTCCAATTTTACTGCCTTTGCTATTTTTCGAGAGTTTATAGGAACTAAGGCAGAAGTTTTCTGCCTCCTCAGACGTACAGGGACTGAGTTGATTGCTCTTAAAGCAATAGTGTGTAAGTTTCACTGAGCAACAGCGCCCTCTGCAGCCTGTTCTGAGTGATTAAGTGGTTTTCATGTAGAGAAAAAACGAAACCAAATCAATCTGTTGACTGGAGCTCTTGACCGCATAGTCTCACTCGCTGATCAGAAACGGTGGACAATAGCCCTGATCCACGGCTTCCTTTACAAATAGAGCTATCCCCGGTAACAAATGCACCAAACTACCATATTAACGTTGTTTTTGACGAGTTCAAAGCGTGTTTAACTGATCATACAGATTGTACCTGCTAACCAAAGTTACACAGAGCAAGAACGGTGTTCAGGGGAAAGAGTGGGAAATGCAAGCCGGAACATTCTTGCTAAACCAAGTCAGCGAACCATTGAACTAATTTTGAAGGTGGTTTTTATAAAGTTAAAAAGTTGTGTTGTGTAGTGTTGCTTTAATCAATACCAATCTGAAAAGAAGTGTCCTATAGAAACTTGTGGACTAGTGATAATGGTACTCACTGGTGTCCTGAAAGTCCACATCCTGGCCGTTGAGAGCGTTCTTCAGGCGGTGCGTCATGATCTTCAGCTGCATGATCTGCTGACGTATTGTCATGTCTGGCTTGGTGATGTCGATTTCCACTTCTGGGTTGTTGATCTGACTGGCTAGGCCATCGCCCATCACCTCTGGAAGGTACCTGGCAGACATGAATACTCGTTTAACATGGTCTCTTGCATCCATTTGGAAATTTTTGGAAGTATTTGACTGCTGGAACTATTTCTTTGGTAATTTGTAAAAGCTTATTTTTCTCAATGTCTGATCACTTCAGTAGTTTTTGGAGGAGAGTGTTTTGTTACTTAGAAATTCACTTTTAATTTACAGTTTAAATTCCTACCTGGCGCGGCTCATCCCGTTCCAACACTTCTCCTCGGCCCCTGTTCCAGTAGCCACTCTATCGCTGCAGAGCAGACTTGGAAGAGAAACCCAGTACGACTGCAGGTCCTTCAGCCTCACAGTTACGTCAGACACCTGAGTTGACAAGAGCAGATTAATGAGCTTTTTCACTTTGCTCCAAATCACAGCCTGATGGTTCATCCTGTTTCCTCAATAACCATGTGCAGTGTTCATCTGACTCATTCATCCATCCAAGCATTCATTCCCATCCAATCACCCATTAGATGTCTGTATAAAGGTTAAATGAACAGCAAAATGGGTTTAATTGTCCATGATGGTCAATGGCTCCTGTGTCATGAACCATCACCATGAACAGGACATATCCATCAGAGAGCAATGACAAACAACACAGTCAGGTAAACACATACCAGTTTGTCTATTTTGTTGGAGCTGGCTTCCACCCTGTCCTCCACTGTGACCCTCCCTCTCTTTGTGGCTTCATCGACTCCTGTGCTGCTGGTTCCGCCCTCTCTGAGGTTTCCACATGACTGGAACAACTGGAGCAGCAAGAAAGGGAGGAAAAGACAAGATGGGAGTACAGAGAGAGGATTAATGAGAGACAGACAAATTGAGGGTAAAATAAGGAAATTATTTGAGTTCTGTTTAGCTTAGCTTTCCAAACAGCAGATCTAAATGCTTCTTTAATAAATCCATCACCATATACAACTATTAACTTTGTACGTGCTCTATAAACTTTACTTTCCTGTCATACGTAGTTCATACTCTGGATCTTTATTGGTAGTGGTGTCAACAAGACTGAAAACGCTGAGCTCTCTGAATAAAATCCTATAATCCCATACTCGCACTGCATCAGCAAAATGCAGTGTTTGTCAGACAAACTTATCTACAGTTACACAAAGAATCTCTGAGCATATTAGTACACACAAGTGATAGTTGTTCGGTGAACCCGAGAGTCAATTGAGCGTAGTTCTGACAGAATAATTTTTTTGTCCCTGTCACGTTTTATAAATGGTGTCCAGGGAGAAGAGTTAAACTGCCGTCAATCTGTCTGTCAATCTGCTCTGTTTACAGAAGCCTCGAGCCTTTGAACCTCCACATTTAACTAGAAAATAATCCTGTTGTAAGCTTCCAGTCATGTCTGTCGCCATATTTTACATGGTTCATTGAACATGATGGACATGAAACAAATGCTAACTCACTTACATTCCACATACTAGGGAAACATGTGTCAACACATTATGTAAATAAATCTGTCCATCTACCGTAAAGCTAAACTCTGAGTCTTGATCAACTTCTCTGAAGTCAACGTATCGCTCTCCCGGAGAGACGAACTTCAGAGGCTGAAACTGTGCGTGATCACCAGGCAGAACCAGGTCAGGGGCGGTCAGCCCAGTCGGGCTCTTAAACGGCAAACCAGCACAGAAGAACCTTTGTCTCTCCTCTCACCCTCGATTCTGTTTTCCACCTTTACCAAACAATTCTAGTCAGATGTCTCTTTTTCTTTGTGCCTTTAAAGAATCAAATAAAACTGCGGCTCGAACACTATTAAACTGTGAAGTAAATGCTTTGGCCCACGGGGCTCGGGCATGACTCACATCCCTCCAGTTGAAGTCAGGTCCGTGGAGCAGTGTAACAGCATTTATTCAGTGGCTGGATAGGTGATAATTGTGCAAAAGTAAGGGCAATGAGGTAGCACAGTGAACCGCCCGGGGTCAAGCCCAACATTGTTTGGCACTGAACCTGGATCAATGAGTGTTTATTAGTTTGCACAGTGGCATTTCCTGACACAGCTCCTATTTCTTTTGTCTTACTTCTTTTAACATTTCTTTTAAAGCTTAACCAACTTAGAACAACATTTCAAAGCCCCAACAATGTCAAATCTACTTTTTCCTTATAACATTAAACATTCATGACTAAATAAGCAACAATCAACTTATCTGCTCGACCGGGACCGTGCAGATGTGCTTTAAACACATCTGATTGATGAGAAGCTACAAATGTAAACAATCCCAGATCTCATCTCATCTCATCTCCTGCTTAATCCTGCATATGGTGGATAGAAGTGCATAACATAATTTTCTTTTTCCATCTGAGCTTCACACACTTCAAAGATGTGTAACGTGAATTATTAATTCTAAACTCTGTCCACTCAATTCAATTTACGTGGACTGAAGTCAAGTTCAAGACACGTCTCAAAGATGATTAAAGCAAGGAGAATGAGAGGGGTCAGAGTACTTCAATAAATAAACGTTTTTTATCTATTTTTCATTTTGTTATACATTTGCTGAACTTTATAAGAGTAAGCTTTTTAGTTGGGGAGTAGTAACAAGTTACATTTACTCCAGTAACTGGTAAGTGGTGACTTTTTGGACTGTTTTTAAAAGATCTGCAGCGCTCTCTACATTGAGTCTTTAAATATGTGACTACGGAGTCTCTCAATCAAAACAATAAGAATGTTTTCGAGTTTTTGTCTTTACCACCATTAATGTTTCTGCTTAACGGAGACAAACTGAAGTGAATAACTGTGACCGATTAGAAGTGACCAATACAAACAGTAGAAGGAAAAAGTACACTGCTGAACAGTGTTTTTGTACTACATCATACAGGATTTGTCCCCGAAGTTATGGCAGAGACAAAGAAAGCTACAGATAAAGTGCATAAGACACAATTAAACGGCGATGACAATGAAATACCTCATTAACTTAAATAAGTTTAAACATTGTTAGAAACATTTTGGGTGACTTAAAACATAGATCTAGTTATATGAAAGTAAAGTCAATGAGGAATTGTTACATATTACATCTTTAACCAATATAAAAGTTAGAGTTGAGTTGCCACATGCACAGTTAGCATGGGTAAGTGCAGTGTACATTTAATTTGTCTTCAGTGATGTTGAAATATAGTGCCATCGATATTCCTTTGATGTCTTTTTTCCCTGAACTCTTCACTGTATTCTCTGTAGTAAATAGAGGTTGTATGGTTAAGTCAGCTGTGCACAGCTGCTTTTACCATCCTGGGTTCTGACCTTGTTGTTGATGGTCTGCATGTTATCCATCATTGTAAGCACGGCTTCTGATATGCGATTGGGAAGGGAGAGGACCACGCTATCCACGCCAGATGCACCATCAAAGCGATCGGCCACCTGCATCATGGTTTCTGCAATGAAAGGAGCCAGAGTTAGCGTGAAGAAAGTATGAAACCTTTCATATGCAGGAAGTTAAACAAGTTGACCAATGGTGAATCTTTGAGCAGATATGAGTCTGAATTGATTTCATGTGTGAACGTGTGTGTGTGTGTGTGTGTGTGTTACCCACCTGCCAGATGCTTCCACTCAGTGTTGAGGTCAGCCTGGTTGGCCAGACAACCCTTCATGACGTTGCTGCAGTAGTTGGCACAAGGTCTGGCGGAGGCCATGCCGCGGCAGTGGGGACAGTAAGTCATCCTCATCATGGCCCGCATGCACTCCAGGCTCAACTGCACCTGGGCAGACCAAAATAAAAATACACCTGGATGAAAAATGTCTGTTTTGTCAAGCATGTGTGATCTAATAGTTTAAGAGATGAAACTGAAGGCAGCAGTTGATCAAACTTTATATTTAACCACAGTGAAAAGCTCTGCTTTTACTCTATGCAGGTACATGGTTTCTACAAGCCACAAGCTTTTGAAATTATTGATGCAATTTACAACCTATTTCATGTCCATACTGGCAAAAAAAGGAAGAGTCAAATACCCCGAACTACTTGCAAAGTCAATTTATTCACATTCAAAACTACAAGTGAGTACAGTGCATACCTTCACCAAGGCCCAACATTCCCCTTGCCCAAACTGCACACACTCATAGATATCAGTTCCCTGTATACGCTGGATTTTTTCCATAAAGATTCATGAATTATTCTCTGGGAAAGTGTGGATACTGTAGGAAAAGCCCAATCTAACAATTTTAAAGAAAACGAAAAAAATCTGGACCCACACCAAAATGTAATGGGTTCTTCCCTGACATCCTTCCACCAAGGTTTTTCAGAGTGGCAGGAGTTAATGTTGTTAGCACAGAGTGGGTCGTGCTGGGACTGGACTACGGAGACGTTCCAGAACTGTAATGGGTGACGGCAGGTGTTTGCTGATCGTTTTTATGACGCTTTTATGTTTTCTGAATTCCCACTCTCATGCCTTAATGACCAAAGTTCTGAATTTCAGCATTTTGTTGCAAACGGTGCAACAGGGATTACATTTGTAACCAAGCACTTAATGCACAATTCTCGAGTTAGATCTTGTTGAACCTGCACTTATATAAATGATGTGAGAATCTGTTTGAACATATTCACGTCCCAGTAAGAGTTTTTTTTTCTCAGTCCAAACACATAAGGTTAGGTTAATTAGCCACTTTGAATTGTGCGTAGGTGTAAATTTGAGCGTGAAGGGTTGCGTCAGCCCTGTGATGGTTGCCCAATGTCAATGTCAAAAGATAAACAACATGTCTAATGAATAGAACTAATGAGTTTAAATAAATTCTTCCATAAGCAGAGCGATGATACTTTAGCCGATATCCCACATCACAATACACTAATTGGTTGTGTTTGGATTAAGACTGGACTGCACATAATGGTTATTGGTTCCATGTTGTTACAGTGAGATCAATACAATACAAAGACTAAAATAAATGCAACTTTACGAATGTACTGTTAACTTCATAATCCAATCCATTTTAAAGATCTGTTTTATATGAAGATCTGTGTATATGTAGATGTCTCGGTTGTCAGACATTGATACTGGCAGAAACGTGGGAGGTCACCGCCCATACTAACCTTTTTCAGTTTTCGCCAGACCGTCATTTGGCACAGTTTCCTTGGAAACCACTTTAGGAGAATTTGCTTTTTTGTTTTACATGCGATGAAAAGGCCCTGACATTCATGCGAGTATTCTCGGTCCCTCACTCCATCCTTCCTGCCTCCTCAATTTCTCTCTCTATCCCACAAGGTTGTTCCCCCATGGAAAGGGCCTTCGTGCATGAAAAATGAAACTGGGTTAATACCAGTAAGCTCTGTTCACAAGAGAGTACAGCTATGCATGCAAAACCCCAGGAAGTGTGTGTGCATGTTGTAGAGAGAGAGAGAGTGAGACGGAGAGAGAGAAAGAGGGATAGAGAGAGAGAGAGAGAGATGGAACGAGCCTAGCTACACATACAAAGCTCCTCTAAGCTGACATCTGGGCCAGTCTGATGCTTTTCCTGGAAACTGTGCTTCCAACAGCAAAGTCATAGTAAAACCAGGTTTTAACAAATATACAATGGAAATAGGGCGACAATAGAGTTCAGGTGGGAAAACAACGAGCTGTCAGTCATTTGATCCCTGTCTGCTCGACGTGAACACAATCATTTTCAGTCCAAAAGTGACTTCTCATGATGGTGGCCTTCTCCTCATTAATCATTAATCATTATCAAAGGCAGCGCCTCTTCCTTTCCTTCATGGTGTAACTCATGTCTCCCATTTTACATCAGCTCTCGTGTAAAAAATATTGGTGGTAAAATATCAATCAAGCAGTCTTTATTGTGTTCTGTTTTCTTCTTGGCTGAATTAAATGGCTATTTATGGTTGTTCAGAATTAACCCAAATCCCCCACAGGGATAATTAAAATGTGATCTAATCATATTTGATCCACATAAGAGCGAAAGCAATTTATTTTGATACTGTTTCAACTCTAAACGCAATCTTACACCACATTTAAAAAAAACACGTAATAGGCCTAAATTAGTAAATACATCTCTGATGCATGAAAGATCAACTTGGTAATCATTGCCAGTTACCCGAGGAGCACAGCATAAAGTGAAGTAAGTGACACAGAGCAGCAATAACCACATTCCCAGGCTTAATCTCAAGTCATAAGAGACATGAGTCAGATCCTCACTCCTGCCCTGCATTTCTCCCCCCTTCCTCCCCTGCTTATCCTACCACTCATTAGCCAGGGATGAGTCAGACAAATGCTTTTTTGGTGAGAGAGAAGAGTGAGGGAAGGGAGTGTACAGAGATCAGTGGAGAAATGCCTGAAAATGAGCGAGATGGGGAGAAAATGGGGTTCGACAAAGGGCGTTGGCAGGGAATTAAAAAAAATGAAAATCATATTAGGGAGAGAGACATTCATTTAGTTTCTGTTAAATCATCCATACAGTATTAACACTAGGGATCCCAGGCCAGGCGCAGCAGACATGACACAGTGTGTAACTTCTCTGTGCTACTAATTGGAGGTTGATGTTGACAACTTCCTCAGTAACCTTGGAGACGCATGTGGTGCACCAGGCATGGTGAGGGAGGGACTGTCAAATTAGAACCAGTGTTGACTGGATCGCAACAAAGGGTCGTTTTCATAATGGATCATTTCATTGATTCTTTTGTAATTTAATAAATGTTCAGGATAGATAAAATTGCCCATTATGATTTCCCAGTTTGCAAAAGGGTGTCTTTGAATAGCTTGTATGTTTGTCCATTGTGTCTGAAATACAAGAGAATTGATTTGCAGACACAAAAAAGAAAAAACAGCAAATCCTCACTTTTGAGAAAACGTATCGATAGCTGATTTCTGCCAGTTTTGCCCAATCCATCCCTCCATCCATCCCTCCATCCATCCATCCACCCACCACTTCTACTTCTGGGGGTTGCAGGGGGCCTGGAGCCAAAGTTATTCGTCAATGTCTTAAATTCTGTATCATAATTGTCAATCTATCAACTAGTCAAATGATCGACGATTCTTTTTAGCACTGTGCACGTTCTTTCTCTCTGCCTCACCCACACACACACACACACACATACACACATTGCACTCACTCTGACCTGATTCACATCATCTCCGTGCAGGCCTCTCAACAGGAGCTTTAGGTTTGAAAAACTCCCTTTGATATTTGCACATGTGGTTCTCTGACATGATTGTGTTACATTTTAAACAGCCGTACCCTCACTTGTCCTTGCCTCACCTACACAACACCCCCCCCACCCCCCACCCCCCCATACCTGACAGTGCCCTCCGTATTGCTTGCGGCGATGAAGCCTGAGACTCCTCTCTCTCTCCCTCCCTCCCTCTCTCCACTTGTCTTTCCTGTGTAATTAGTAAGGATATATGAGCGACCTCTCCCCCTTGTGTTATGGAGCGAGCTGATCCAGACTCCTTGCCTCCAGAGTGAGCTATGTGGCGTGTGGCCTATTTCCTCCACTCCCCTACTCGAGGGAATAAAAACAATCCGGAAAAAGTTAGGGACACAGCAACTGGTACAGCCCGAAGCAAAGCAAGGGAGGAATTAATACTCTACCAGAGAGAAAAACTACATCATACTTTTTTTCCCAATATATCTCTATAAAAACATTCTTTCAAATTATTCAGTCTTTCCACGTATCTCTCTCCCCCTTTCTCTCACTGCTCTGCTCCAGCCTTCTTTCAGGTGACTATATTTCATAACCTTTCCCTATATCTCCTATTTTTTATGGCTAAGCAAACTAAAACAGAGCACGGATTCATGTAATGTTCGTATAATTTGGTAGCATTGACTTCTGCAGAACACATACAAATGCACGGAGAGGTGTGTTTTTATTGTCTCCTGTTTTACACTCAACTGGTTTAGTAGCTCCCTGAGCAGCGTGTGGTAGCTGTCTTCAGTCACAGGGCCCTTTAAGTGGCGATACGTCGCTATAAATAGGAGCGGTTTTCTCATTAGGGCCCAATCAATTGAAGATAGAATTACAGGAGGGGAAAGCTAAGATCTAAATGAACATACAGAACTATTCACGCTAAAGGGAGACAGAGGACGAAACAGGGCACAGTTCAAGGAAATATCAACAGACATGATGCAGTACAATTTACTGGGCAAGGACGGAGGATAAAGGATTGAGAGAGCAGTAGGATAGAGACAGGAGAGGTTGCTGGAGTTTGTTACAGTATTTTTTATTAACTTTCTCTCTTGGTCTCACTGTTCCAATCCACACATACACCATGGTGCTCATTGTGTGCTGCTGTTGTGAAATTGTGAAATTGTATCACCCTTGACTTGGATGATTCAAAGAAAAATTTGACAATCCATTAAAACTGCAGGAATTTTTGATCAGCCAAATCAGATTTGGCTATTCACTGCAAACAGTCAATTATTCACATCTTTTAAAATATAGGCTATTAAGGTATACTTTGTTGGACTGCCAGATATTTTAATAGGGCTGGGCAAGTAAACAACTCAAAATATCCCTTCCATCTAGCATGCTAAATATTCTAAAGTTGGATAGAAAATGTGCAACATTTTTTGCAGACACTAGATATCAAACAAAAGCCAGAGACTTTATTATATTAGGTTGCTGTGAGCTGTAAATCCAGCACCTCTAAGCAAAAGGGAGAAGACAACGTTATCTTAGAGCTTAACCGGTCAAGGCCGGCCTCCCTTCCTCTGGGGCAGCCGCCCTCTCCTCACTCAGAATCACTTCAGATCTGGGTCTGCAGCTGCCTGCACCCGTCGCAGACATCCTCACCGAGTGGAAAGGACGACTTGACGTAGTGGAATGATTTTGTCCTGGACAGCAGCGTGAAAGCGAGGAGCGCTTGCACTGCAGCAGCTATTTCTGGGGACTGAAATGTCTCCAGCAGTACAGTGACAAAAAAAGAAAAGAAAAAGAAAAGACGACTGCAAGCGTCTCCGCCTGATGATTCAATTCTTTGACCTTCAGGAGGCAGCCCTTTATTCCGTTTTTTTTTGCACAGTTCAATGGACTTGGAGATTGACCAAGTGTGTCCATAGTGACTGTTCTCATGCATTGTGTGCTCTTGCTTTCCCTCTTGGGACTTGTGATGAGTGTGTGTAAATGGGACAGAGGGTAGTCCGTGACCTCACTCAGAATGGCAGCGGTTCCAGTGCCCTGGCATTAGCACTGCTATGATGTTTTGTAATTTTGTAAAAGCTGTGCTAATTATTTACCCTCGTTCCCCATGGCAGCCTATTTTAATGAACTCATTGCTTACTGTCCCTCAGCACAAACATAATGGCATCAGTTGGGAGATGTTTATTAACAAAATAGCCACACTGGGGAAATGTGCATCACTGATAGAGGGGGATAATGAAATCAATTGTGTGTGTGTGTGTGGTTGCACCTTTAAGCACTTGTGTGCAAATGTGCTCCAGCGTGTGCATGAATGTTTGCCTAAGAGAGATGCTTATCAGTTTAGCATCTTGCTGGCATAGCTCTTGCAGGAGTCGTAAGCTACTCTGGCTGGCCCAGGGGTGCACCCATGTGTCACAAATCAAGAATAGCATTTTCAACATGGCGTGCTGCATGCTAATTCTGACCCTAACTCCCCTGATTGCTTGCTTGAGTCTAAGATAAACCGCGAATGTTGTGTCTCTGGTTTGACGAGTTGCATGAGTGCCTTGGCTTCAGGTCGGGGAGTTTTGTCACTAACTGCTTCCCAGCTCCCCTGTGGCTTGGATGTGCTCGGGCTCTGCTGCATGCAGGTATTTAATTGACACAATCCTCGGGTCCCTGTGTGTAGGAGTGAGACGCTGCACCTATTTCTGGGTCAAAGACATGTGGAAGAAGATATACTGGGCCAGGGGTATCTCATGCTGGTGCAAACAGAACAGTGTGTGCCCACCCGCAGTGCTAGCCAGAACACATGCATCAGTGTGGAAGGGGAAAGGATCACACCGATCTTTCTCTGACATGCATCCAAATGGCAGCGTTGCGGTTTTGCATTTGCACCACAACATATGCTTTTCTTTTCTCTTGCTTTTCGTCTGCTTACACAAGTCTGACCTTGTAGTATTCTAATCAAGGGACATATAATATTAATCCCTGGTGCGGCATCTGTTTTCTCAGAGGATGCATATATTTCTAATGGGGCCACTGCTCTCAACACTCTCCTTGTCCAGTGTCTGATCGGAGATATTTTTCACTAGTGCATCAACACCAACCACCTCTCTTTCAGGAGCTGAAATGATTTCTCAGACTTGCTCTGATCTTAACCTCACGCTTGTTTTATATACAGAGGCGGCCATTTCTCTTGGGAGATATTAACCCTCCCCCTGGCCTTGGAAAATCCTTTCTTTCTTTTTTAGTGTGGAGCTGACATTATGTGTTGTTGCAGGGGCAGATTGGCTGAGCCGTGGGCTATGTTTTATGATGCCTCTGATTTCCACCAAACAATGGCCTGCCTCTATTTTATACTATGCGCATGGACTAGTTGAGTGTGTGAGTGTGCGTTAATATCAGGGAGGACTGCAGAGGTCATCACCGAAGTCTGGACCTTGGTATTGTTTTCTGAGGGGTGTATAACAAAAGATCATCATCAGTGTGTTGGTGGATGGAGTGAATGATCTTCTCAACATTGGTAATTGATTTTGTGAACAAATTGGACAGGCAGTTAAATCCGCTGAAGTGTGATGCAGGTAACCAGGAATTTTACAAGCGGATCCATAGTTGTTCAATGCCTTTTAACCTACGAAGTAATATCTATAAAAAAATGTATGTGAAATTCTGTTGGTGGATAATTTTGCTCTTATTCACAACTTAATGTACTTGCAACATTCAACCTGATTATCATGCTTTACTGCTCACTGACATGGTTTTAAGGCTATTGTTATCCAGTGCTTGCCCTTCAAACATCTGAGCGGGCACATTTGCAGATCAGGGAAATCGCCCCAGGCAAGCTCAGTTTTTAAACCCTCTGTATTTCTAAACCGACCATGACTCACGATCATAGAAGTGACAATGAATAACACAGGAATACTTATAAAGATGGCTTGGGAGAGAATAATAGGTCTTCAAAAGTTAGATATCAGTAAAACTGTATCTGAGGCAGTTCATTCACTTCAATCGGTAAAACTAACACAATAAAACTAACTTGTGCGGAAAAGAGGCTAGCAGCGGCGTACATTTAAAGGGAAGAGACTAGTTATTGGATGGATGGGGATGCAAAATGAGAAGTGAAGAATATGTTTAAGAAAACTGGAGATTAAACCTTTTTACCTGTGACACCCTGCGCACCACTTCCCCACTGACCACCAGTCCCTGAACGAAGGAACGCGCAGCCACAAATGTGCGTGTGACCATCATCTTCATGACCCGGGGGGTTTCTCCAAAGGGCCGCAGTGTCTCTATCTGCTTAGAAACACACTCCAGGTAGTCCTCACCTGCAACCAGCACACACATTCATTCAAATTTATCTGATTACATAAAAAGATTAAGCTTAAATGAAATATGATCTTTATGAGGTGAATAAATCACTGACAATGTCAAAGCTGAGTCATATTCTCTCATTATCTTACTTGTGTACAGTATTTACTTTATAACATCTTAATGAGGGGAGTTCCCAGGCAATTAATCTGTGTTAGTCATGCACCATTAAGCAGTGAATTAGTTGGCGGTTGCTTTTTTGTGTTCTAGAAAATAAATGTGTGTTTTTATACCAATGACATATTGCTTGTTTGCCTGGTAGAAGAGCTTCTCCATCAGCCTGGCCCAGAATTCGTTGAGCACCTCTTCCAGGTTGATGTTGGAGCCTCGATAGTACTGCCTCAGATCCGTGTACAGCTCAGAGAAGACCTGGGAGTTCTGGATGTATAGTAAACCCCACGTTGCAGTGAAAGTCTCATGTAGACTAAGTGCAGAGTGGTTCAGCAACTCCAAGAAGTAACCTGAATATAAATACAGAGAGTAAAAGGTTAAAACAGATCAATTAAGAACCATAGAGTCAGCAAATACACTGTATAGTATTATTTTGTTGTGGACATTATTATTCGCTCTTCATGCCCCTGATACTCTGCAGATAGAACCAGGATCAGGAGGGGTAGGGCCTACACCTGAGGCCCACTGCCTGCTGTACCATTATGTGCTCTCTTTCCCCTCAATATCCTCACATTACCATCCTCACACATACAATACAGGTTGTTCAATACAACTCTAAATGCAAAATGAGGGGGAAAAAATCACTCAACAACACAAGATGTGTCAATCTCTCAGAGCAATAAAGCTTTCTGAAAATCCCAGATGACTATTACAGAATTTCATGCTGGAAAGATTGTGTTTATGGAGGAAAAGCAAGAACGAAAAAACATATGTTTTTCCCCTTTCTTATTCCTTCTGCTTTGTGCTATAGACACCACAACTGCTTCACGCTGTAATGGAAACCAAAGGTAAAGTATGTGAGTATATATATGGCTCCGAGTCAGGTACAGGCAGTGGAGCAGACAGACAGGTAAACATAGTGATGGGCAGGTATGCGACAGGCTGTCAGTCCTGGAGAAAGAGGATATTGGAAAAACAAGCACAAACTGGAAAGCACAAGGAAACAGGGGAAGTACAACAAATTCTAACCCTTCCCTAATGATTCTAATGTTCCACCCACCTGATTTACATGCATGAGGGCGACAGGGTGTAACACACATCTTATTGATAACCACTAACTACAGCCTCAAACTCACAGTCAACAAAACTTAGGCTCAAAATCCTATTCAATAGAAGACAGTTGCATTGGATTACAATATATTGCATTGGACAGGTGCAGCTAAAACTGGCCATTCATTGGACTGTATTTCATGTGTCATGCAGGGTGAGGTGGGCGTGTGCGTTTTCATAAATCCTGCATAAACATCTTTACATCCGTTTTGTGTGTAAACAATGTTTATAAATGAGACTCGTGTTCTGCCAAGAGTATGACAGCACAGGGTGTAGCCCAACAACAGCATGTCCAGATCACTGACTGCAAGACGGACGATATGTCTGCCTCCCAAATGTGTTTGGGCGCCATCTGGTGGCTGGCTGCAGTATAGGTCATAAATCCCACCTCTTCCATGTTAATAGATGGGACATGGACCAAACTAAAACAGTCAAAGTGCACGTCAAGTAACTTTTTCTCAAAGATATCTTCAGTCATTTTAGGCAGTTTTTATCACTTTATTATTTTCTAGTTGGTTTGGTTTTAAAGAGTTATTTCATGTTGTTAACATTTATCGGATGGACCTTGTTACAGTGACTCCATCTCCCGATCACTACTGCGCAGAATCTGGCTCCCAATTCATAAGATGGCAGCTATATAGATATGTTATATATATTTATATCCACTGGGGCCAACATTTGCTCTGCATCTCCACGTACACAGAGGGTTCAAACCTGGTACGTGTGTGTGTGTGTGTGTGTGTGTGTGTGTGTGTGTGTGTGTGTGTGTGTGTGTGTGTGTGTGTGTGTGTGTGTNTGTGTGTGTGTGTGTGTGTGTATAGCAGGCAGATGTAACCCTGTAGTCTGTAGCCGTGTTTACTTTGTAGGTGTTTATCTCTGCCTGCCACCACCCTACATCAAGAAGAGATGAGAAAAAGTGGAGGTTGTGGCCTCCGCAGGGGAGAATGCTCATTCCCCTCCACAAGCTGCTTTTTAAAAACATCCTCTCGTAACATTTCCCACACTCCAGCTTATTTCCCCTAAAACAATTCTAACACTTTCCCTGATGACAAGAGAAAAGGCAAGCTAAGTTATATAGTCGCAGCACTCCAACACCCATGTGCTCGGGGCCTGTAGGCAATCATAGCACTTGGAGTTACATAACATGTTAATATGCTAAGCTCTTCCTGACCCCTCTACGTGACATTATCTAAGCACTGGCTTTGTTGGATGCTGCTTTCCCACTCATTAACAAACACCAGCCCGTCTGCTTCAAAGCTGCTGCTGCTATTTGCTGCTTTCTTCTGGCATTTTCTCAGACTCTGAGCTAAAAGGTCTACTCTCACCGGAGCCATTGATCTGAAAAGATGTATTTAGCAGTGAATGTTAGGAGAAGCACACTCTTGTGAGGACTTATTTTTAAGTCCATTAGCAGAAAACCACTCTGAGACCTACAATGCATCATTTCATTTTCTGGGGTTTGCTACAAATAATGGTTATTCTGTGCTTTGAGAGAGCTTAAGTCTAAAAGTATTTCAGTCAAAGGAGAAATATCAAGATTCATTCTTCAAGTTCATCTTCGTTTTGTGAAGCTCTATAACCTCAAGCAGCTTTTCACATTCCTTTTCCTGCAAACACAATCTTGTTGGGTACCATGTCAAATTGCCATTTGCCTCAGTTGGGATCACGCCCAGAATCAGCATGCATTATTTCTAAAACAGAGTTATAATAAAGTAGTCATTCGCAATTAAATACAGTGAGCTTTGTGCATGAATGTGTGCATCGGAGGACTTAAAGAATAAAAATAGCTTTATTTTATATTTTGATCTTTTTGCTTAACTGCAGTGTATGCCTCTCCGGTGCCAGCCCATATTTAATTATCTTAACTCGACTTCCTTTCAAGTGACCAGGGGGTGAACAACTCTGAATGTAATCTTGCGTGATCGGATCGCTAACTTCTGACATGCAGCAGCCATATGTCCAGTGTTTGTTTGGTACAGCGAGACTTCTTCAGCGAATGACGCATCGTTCCCCTGTTCCCCTCCTGTCACTCAAACTATCTGCAGGCACAGCTCTGGGCCGGCCTTAATGTACCAGGGGAGAGAGACGCGCGTCTGTGTCAATAACAGATTTGTGCAAGGCAACAATCAAAATCCTACTTCCAGGAGTCAGCAGAAAGGGACACATGTGCACGCAGAGAAAGCGACTTCAAAGTGGCAGCACATTCCCATATTAATACACAGACACACATAAGGCAGACAGATAGACGGGGAGCTGCTGTGACAGGTGCAGCTTTGCTTTTAATCCCCATTAGAATTCATTCCTGCTGTGGACTGTCAGACGAACTGTAAAAAAACGCTGTAAATGAAATGGGCTTCAGCAGAAATATTTTCACTCAGGTGAAAGAGTGAAGTTTTATTCTACTTTGAACAGTTTACACATGTTTACTGTCCTAATGTGGTGGGGAGATGTTATTTTTTAAATGCACATGTGGAGAAGAGATCTGTGCAAATAGTTCCACTCTGTCCGATTCTCCTCTGCCCTTCAGCTGCAGTGAATAATGATCGTCATTAGTGTGACACGAGGCTGCTGTGCATGTGTGTGGAGATGACCTTTCTCATTGTTCATCTGTTTGTGTCTCCATGACACGGAGCCACAACTCACCCCTTCCTTCACCCCCACCCATACCACTACTCTCTCCCTCAATCCTACATCATCCCTTAAAAGCCTGACCTCCACCTTCTCTCCTCCAGGGACAAAGTGATGGGAGAGGGTGTCCGATGGCACACATCCCAGCACATGGGGAAGGGGGCAAACACACATATTGTTATCTGTGTTAATGTTTGCATCTGCTGAAGAACCTTTATTTTACAGAACAGACTGTAGAAAATGTGTTAATTTCTGTTTACAGTTCACTGAAACATAACTTTATTCTCTTAATTCAAATTCCATATATTTGGTTGTACATGTGTTTTCCCTTTAGTTAAAGTTATTTATAATAAAGTGAAACTGTAAAATATCAAACCTCAGGTACATTTCTTTGAGTGTTTGATAACGACATCTTATAAATATCGGCCACCAGACCAGTATCAGAACATTTTAGTCTGTGATATTTATATTGGCATTGCAGGAAGTGAGTGTGCAAGTGCTTTTTAATTTTAGGTCCAGTATCATAAATGACACAATTGTCTCAAAGTGCTTTTTAATCAATGCAGAAAAAAACACTCTGTGTTCATAACCACATCAGTTAGATGATACTTGTAGCAAGAGTGGGCAATAATACAATAAAGTGGTGCATCAAGTTTAAGTTGAACACTTACCCTAACCTCCCTTCATGCATTTCTGTCATTTTTTGTCAACAGTCATTTTAAACATTGTATCGACAGTTCATATTTATGTATAAACACAGACACACACTTGTGGGTAGTTATCCATATTGGACATTAGACATTGACTTTCATCTATTGCAAGGACAATACCCAAATCCTGACACTAATCCAAAGTAATTCATACCTCACCGCCTAACCTTATCTCATTAAAACTAGTTCCCATCAAAGGTGAGTCAAACGGAAAAGGTCTTAATGCAGTAAAAGCACTCACACACACACACACACACACATCACAACCCTAACCCTACCCCTTCCAAAGGTCGTAGAAGCTCGGGGGTGGTACCAATGGATCGGGCATNCACACACACACACACACACACACACACACACACACACACACACACACACACACACACACACACACAGGCTTGTGTGTCTTAATGGCTGTCTTCCTGCAGTGAGAGTGGAGTTAATGATTTCATTTGTAATCACTCTGAGCTTCTCATCCAGGCCACCTTGACATGTCAGAAGCTCATTTTACCTCCGCTCCAATCCCACCGCTTCCACATCTGACTAAACTCACTCACCCACATTCAAGTGCTCACATAAACCCTCATGTACCATAAAATCACTTTCAAGTATTTCACCCTCTTACACTGCCTCAGTCTTTTATCAGTCAGTACAGTGCTTTACACCATTGCCTCCATGTGCCAGATTTGCCTGTAGCCCCCGCCCCCCCCCCCCTGTCACCAGTGTCAAGTTGTAATATTGACACGATACTCAGTGTAATACACAGGTACCATTGATGTTCCTCCTCTGCCAATCACTCAGTGCTCGCACTGATCCTGAGTTCCTTCTCACCCAGAGGTATTAACTGACCAGATCTGTGCTCCTCGCTTCAGAGTAATCCACAATCTTTTCTTTCTCATACA